AATTACAGCAGATTTCTCTTCACAAACCATCAAATCACGAAGAGCATGGGGAGAAATAATTCAAGCTTTGAAAGATAATAATCTCCAGCCAAGATTGATATATCCTGCACAACTGTCCCTGGAAATTGATGGAAAAACGAGGTGCTTCCAGGATAAAGAGGAACTGGGGGAATTTGCAACCACCAATTCAACCCTACAGAAAGTATTGCAGGATATTCTAAAAAAAGAAAAATACAAAGAACCCAGAAATAGTGGCGGGGAGGCCACAATGAATGGAGCAGAGAACAAAATGAAGAAGACAAACTGACAGCTACTGACAGAAAAAGAGCTCAACAGAAATGAGACAGAGAAGACTGGATGATAGGAACAGCTTTTTTTGGAGAAAATGACATCTTAATAGGTAATGCTGATTTAGTACCATCTTGTTTTGAAGTCTCATCTAGCTTTTGTTCTTCTGTCTCCAATGGTCTAAACAGGTTGTATCTTATTGGATTTTGTTATGTACGATAGTATAAGCAAAAACCTTTTAAGGACAAGGAGATTATACAGAGACCATTGTTCATTTTCTGTTAGTCGATTCTAAATACTCTATAATGCTGTCATTCTCTTAAATGGTTTTACATTGTTTTGATATACTTAATGCTACAGTATATGAAGTTGTACTCAAGGATTTCAGGGAGGGAGTCAATATGGTAACTATTTTTGGGTCAGGATTATCTGGTGGTGAAACACTATTCTGCTTAAATGGTTATGTTTTGATCTGCCCTGTTTCGCTGTTATGCCCTCTTTTTTCTCAATCTCCACTCCATTATTTACTTTTTTATTTTTATCCATTTAATTAAAGGGAAAAATATAGCAGGGTATAATATAGTAACCCACTTTGACATTCTATTATCTCGATTTGAAGCCCTGTGTTACTCTCACCATCTTGTTTTTGACTGAGGTTCCTCTATTCTGTTTTGCTGGACAGTATCAGGTTCGAAAGTTTAGGCATCAGCTGAGAAGATAATGAGATTCATTATAACGCCCATTCTCGTTGACTTTTATCTACTTTTGAAGACCTACAATGTCTCCAATGTTTTGGTTTTGTCGGTTTTGTTCTTTACGGTTTTGTTCAATTGTATAACAACTAATGATATAGGCAATTCTATTGGAAATAGCGGGAGGCATTATGGTAACCATTGTTGATCACCTTGTATTATGTTTTTTATATTATCTATTATGTCCACCCTTTTGACTTGACCGATTCTGTTCTGTTATGTCACATTTGGTTTTACTCTCTTCCAAAAAAGCAATAAGAACCATGGGAGCAATGAAACCCAAAATGTGCAATAGTCATTATACAAAAGAGAGGAAAAGAAAGTGCTCTAAACTATATAACTGCATGTATATTTAAATGTATAAGATAGAAAAAGATATCACAGAGTTTTATTGGATCATTGAACAGTATCATTGTTGGAATGTCCACTCTACAAGCTTTAATTTTGTGACTTGAACAATTATTTCTGGGATGGCAATATGTGGTCCATTGACTAGTGAAAAAAAAAAAAAGAATGCTCTGGACTGGGGGTGGACCTCACTGGAAGACTGGTTGCCTACTTGAGGCTCTAGATTGCATATAAAACAGCACTATAAAACAAAACAAAAAAGTGCACCCCATGATTGTCTCTAGGGTTTTCTTCCCAATTGCTGTTCCCAGTCTGAAAGTTTTGACACTAGCATTTTCATGATTTTACAAGAACATGTCAAAGGAAAAGACCCTTCCTAACCTATGGTCCAGAGGAAACTTGTTGACTGAAACATCAAGTGTTCAGTTGTGCAGACAGGCTACCAGAGTTACAAGCAAGTCTGAGCACATAGAAGCAGTGGAAGAAATGACATGACTCCCAACCAGCTGGCAATGACTGCGAGGCACAGTCACCCTCCTGCCCTTGCTCTGTGCTCTAGCAGAGCCCTACAACAATTCAACTTCAAGATCACCTCTTCATCTTTATGCCTGCTATTTTTGCTTCCTGGTGGGTCATTTCCCACCTTGTCCTGCTGCATTCTTAGATAGTCCAAATGTCACCTCCTCCCAGAAATCTCCCAGGGTTTCTCTAGGTTCCTGCAGTCCTTTGGAACACTGGGTGGAGATCGTGTTTGTGGATATGCTTTTGCCACTGTGAACTTGCTGGGGACAAATGCCTTTGCATCCCCAGCCCCCTGCACTGGTGACTGAAATAGCAGGTAACCCACAGAGAAATGAGTGAATGAATGAAAAGTTACCACTCAGCAGTCACTTGGATGATATGCTCTGAAAAATGCTGGGAAAGCCCCCTCACATCTGCCCGCATTTTCCCAGTGGGCATTTATAACTCACACAGTATAATTAAAATGTCCTTTATAGCACCTTAACTCTTACAAATAAACAGAGCTCAGTTAATCATATCAGAGCTGGCCATGGCAGCTGGCTGAAACTGTCCCCACCCAAAATTGAGCATAAGAGAGACCAGGAGAGAGGCAAAACTTACTCCAAAAGAGCAAAATAAAACATCATTTTCTCTAGGAAGAAATTTCTAGGCACCCTATCATCTGAATTAGACTTCCGCTCCACCACTCTGTGTTATCATTGACTCTTCACTCTTGCTATGTTAATTTCCATCACTGTGATAAAACAGCTGAGAAAATCAACTTAAAGGTAAAAAGGATGGTTTTGGCCCACAATTTCAGAAGTCTTAGTCCATGGTCCTGGTGGCTTTGGGCTAACAGTGAGGCCATTCTCATGGTGAAAGCTGATGGCAGAGGACAGCTGGTGGCCTCATGGGAGTCTAAAGGAAGAGACACAGATGGAGGGGGGAAGGAGCATGTACACAACTGAGAGAGCAGAGAAAAAATGCACCCGTCAAGGACGTGAGCCTAATGATCTTACTCCAGTGAGGCCCTTTCTCCTAAAGTTCCCAGCATCCCCAATAACCCATTATGAATTTGTGAATAGATTAACTGAATCATGAGGTCATGATACACTCACTGTCCAGTGGCTCCATCTTTGAACAACTGCTGCCTAGGGGCCAAGCCTTGAACACATGAGCTGTGGAGAGACGTCTCAGATCCAAATCGTAACACTCTGCAGGACTCAGGGTCTTGTTCATCACTATGTCTCCAATAGTCAGCCCAACACACATGGGTTGCTTATCAAATACTTGGACAATGACTGAAACTGAATTTCAGAACCAACATTTATATCAAGGGAGCATAATGGTAGTTAAGTACTGTGCCTTACAAGATCCAAGACAGCCAGACAGATGGACAGAGAGACACAAACACACCGCTGATTCACTCCTTCCACAGTGCTAACTCCAACAGTAAGGTAAAGATCAGCAACGGGGAACAGACAGACACCGGCCTCTCCCCATAAGTCAGCACCATTTGCAGACCAGAAGAGAGAACAAAGCCACACCAGCAAGCAAGCCCAACCTGGGAACCAGTGCCATGCATGGGCCACTGCCAGACTGGAACAGACAGATCCCAGCCCTTTCCAGTACATAGGCTGGCCAACAAGAACTACTAAGCCCACCTCCCAATGCCCATGCCCACTATAAGCAACAGGCTTATCTGGAGAAACACAGGCTGTGATGATAGCTATGGAGGTTCAGAAGATATTGGTATGCAGTGTCTAGGAGGGATCTCCTTCTGAGGGTTACAGCCATTGTGGATTCCCTATGGTCTACCTTTGAGGTCCTATATCATTTCCATTGTTTTGTTGGGTTGGATTTTATTCTCTTTTGTTTTGTTTGATTATGCCAAATCTGATGGCAGGAGCAGCTATTTCAAAGATAGCAAGATATATTATGGTAGCATTTTTGGGTTTGCTATTGTGCTTTGAAGTCCTTTATTGCATTCATTGTTTTGTTTTTATCATTTGTATTTTATACTGTTCTGTTTGATTTTTACTATGTCCAAAGTTATCTGCAGCTATTTTGAAGACATCAAAAGGCATTATGGCAACTATTGTTGATTTTGTAATGTTTTGAAGTCCTGTATGTTTTACACTGGCTTACTTTGATGGGTTTTATTCTGTTTTATCCCCTTTTAACTAAATAAATAAATAAGATCAGCAAAAGGAAGTGTGTGAACCATTATAGCACAAGATATTTGTGAATGAAGCTAATGTCAAGACTATTTAGGAAACAGTGAACTTGGCAAGAAAAAAATAGTAATAAAGTCCCAAAATATGTTACTTGACATAGTGCTTATATGTGCTCACAAATGTAAATATTCAGGCAAATCAAAGCAAAGGCAGCCTCGAGCAAGAGCCTAGACCCAGTAATACATGCTCTGTCATTCACGGACATGAGGAGGAAGAAGGCCCAGTGTCAGGCACCTGCTGACCCTTTCCATGCATGAAGGTCTTCACTCCTGTGGGCAGTGAACTCTTTTGCACATTTCATAGTACTTGGCAGAGTGCCTGGTGATAGCATGCACTCTATATATATGTGTTGCTGAGTGATAGAATGAAAAAGGAAATGAGTTTCAGAGAGAATAAATGATTTATCCAAGGTCTTCAGCAAGACCTGAATCTAAAATTCAAGCTAATGTCTGGCTCTGGAACTCTACAGCTGGAGGTTTCCACCCTAAGACATGGGAGATGGTTGGCCTCAGAGATGGTTGGTCCCAAGACATTAGGATACTGTCTTAATAAAGTCAACTTATCTTCTCTCTCTCTGTCTCTCTCTGTCTCTCTCTCTCTGTCTCTCTCTCTGTCTCTCTCTCTGTCTCTGTCTCTCTCTGTCTCTCTCTCTCTGTCTCTCTGTGTCTCTGTGTCTCTGTGTCTCTCTCTCTGTCTCTGTCTGTGTCTCTGTGTCTCTCTGTCTCTCTCTCTGTCTCTCTGTCTCTCTGTCTCTCTGTCTCTCTCTGTCTCTGTCTCTGTCTCTCTCTCTCTTTCTCTCTCTCTCTCTCTCTCCCCTTCCATATCTGTATTTCTATCTTTTTCCATCTCCCCTCATCCCCTTCTCTCTCTCTAGGTTACTGGTGCAGTACGCAAAGGCTGGGCGAGGATACTTTAACTTTCTTAAAGAAGAGTCCGCGACAAAAAGGAAGCAACAGCAACTGCAGAAACTGAAAGAGGAAGAAAGAAATAAATTCCAACCAGCCAAAAAGTTACCTGAAATCCATGAGGATGCGTTGCTGACGTAAGTGGACACAGCAGCTCTGGTGCCAAGGGTCTTGGGAAGAGCCATAGAGAGACAGCCCTCCTAGGCTGGGTTGAATGTGTGGCAGCTCGCTCAGGACAGAACCTTCTTCCTTAGTGTGAGTATCTCATGCCTTTTATTTTGATCCAACCTACTTTACCATCTCTGCCTTCTGGTATTTGGTGAAATAGCTTCTGCTGTACATATCTGTCCTGATATCCTGTCATGATAGTCAGCTTTCTGTCACTCTGATAAAATGTCTGGGAAAAACAAAGACAGAAATGTTTATATTGGCTCATGGTTTCATACAGTTCATCTTCAGGCTGCTCCAGTGCTTTAGGCCTTTGGTGGGGAAGAACATCACAGTGTAAGGACATAGCAAAGAAAACTGGCTCGCTTCGTGGTAGCCAAGAAGCAGAGAGTGACACAGCCAGACAGAAAGAATCTGGGAAGAAAATATACCCTTTCCAAGCTAAGCCCTCATTGACTTGCTTCACTCCATTAGACACTACCTCCCAATAAGCCTATTGAGCTATGCGTGAGTTTATTAGTGAGCTAATCCATTGGATGAAGTCAGAGTCCTCATGGCCCAATCAGTTTCCAAAACACCCATGAGCTGAAAACCAAGCTTTCAAACCTTTTGGAGACATTTTTAGACCCCAAGCACAGCACTGACACTAAGAAACTTTGCAAGTCCCCAATGTACCTATTTCCTTCTCCTTCCTAGGCCTTTTCCCATGTTGTATCTTGGGACTTAGAAACCCTTCCCCCACATCCTTGCTGACCAAATTTCTCTACTCATCATGAAACACCCAGTTTACAGGCTACTTTCCAGTAGGCACTCGCTGGGTTTCAACCAGGATGTCCCGCCCACATTTGCATTCCAGGTCCTCGTGGCCTGTGTTGTGTGTTGGCTCACTGTATTCCACTTCAGTATCTCAGTTCTAGGTGTTCAGCTGCAGCTCCAGAACCTAACTCAGCATCCATATAAAGTATGTGCACAAAAAATGTTTGTCTCTTTGTTGAGTAAAGTCTCTGCCTTTTTTGTAAGACTTTCCCCTGACTGAGAAAGAACCATCAACAGATAGGTCCATTGCAAATGCCCATGACTATAATAACAACAACAACCATAACAATAAAACCAATGATAAAGATAATGAGTGTTTGCTATGTGTTTTATGTACATCTATTTATTTAAACTTCAAAACAAAATTTCTATAAAGCAAGAACTTATTAGCTCTGCTTTAGAATAAGTCTTAGCGATATATTGATTTTACTCCAGGCTCATTAGTTAGCATTCCTGAGTACCAAACTCAGAGGCACCAAATTCCACAGATCTTACCGATCATCGTGCATAAACCTTAGGACACTTAGTTTGTGCAGATTGAATGAGGCACACATCAGGGATGGAAAGGGGAGCAGAAGCAGACAGAGAAGAAGTGTATCATAGAAATGGCCTACGGTTATAATTCTTACCCTGATAGCACAACCATCTCAATCCTTGCTAGGCATTAGAATATCTTGGAGAATTCTTTTAAACTGCAGGTGCCTATGCTACACTCCAGGATGGGCTCTGTGGGGATATTGTACATTCATAGTATTCTTTAAATTTCCCCTGGGAGATTTCAGTGTGAAGCCATGCTTGAGCAGTCAAAATTCCAGGTTGTTTGCTAAAATTAAAACAGAAACCAAGGTCAGGCATGGTGGTGCATGCCTGTAACTCCAACGCTTGGGAGCCTGAGACAGGAGGATCACTGTGAGTTCAAGGCCAGCTTGAATTACAAAGTGAGACACTGTCTGAAAATTTTTTTAAAAAATGGAAACCAAGGCAGACACTTCTTCCCCTCTGCACCATTGGTTAAACTCTGTCCTTTAGAATGTTAACTTAAAGAAATATTAACATATAACTTTTATGATCAAGGTCCTATTGATGGAATTGCATGATATGCGATCTTCTTGTGTTGGCTTCTGCCACCTAGCACAGTGGGTTTGAGGTTCATCTTAGACAGAAAGTTAGTTGGTGGTTACCAGGGGCTTAGAGGGAGAAGGAGGAAAGGGATTGCTTAATGCATGTGAGGTCTTCTTTTGGAGGTGATTAAAGTGTTTTGAAACTAGATAGAGGCGATGGTGGCACAACATAGTGGATGTATTACATGTCATGAAATTGTACCCTTTTGGTTAATTTTATGTTATGTGATTTAAGTAGAACAAAACTTCAGGTCTGTGAGGCCTTGGGTTATTAGGTGGAAGAGAGGACTGGACTCTGCTGGTGTCCTTAGAGCTCATGGGTCCAGAAGATGGACAAGAATGCAGCCTGCAGGACCATGTCAGGACTGGCATGCTTCCACTGATCTTCCTCTGGGCTGTGACCCTTGGTGTCCCTGTTTATTGTGGATAGTGTCCTCTTTGACTCTCCATTAGAATGGACCTTGGGTTGTGATTTCTGTCCTACCCTGTGAAGTGGTGAAGCAGGTCCAAACTGACAAATGTCCTCCTGCCCAAAGCAGCAACCACACTGCCATTTAGCTCTGGTTTCTATTCTCCAGTTTGAGCCCAGAGAACTCTGCTTTTTGTCAATGGTTTGCCACTTTTAAGGGTTTGTTGTTGGTGTTCTTGTGGTTGTTACTTCTGCTTTTGTTATTTTGTTTTGACTTGGTTTTTATTATAGTTGCTGCTGCTGTGTCCGGAATTTGTGTTACTTATACCCAAAGGGTTGATCTAAATGAACATTTGTGTGCCCATTTGTGAGTGGATTTTTTCATTCTGGGATGAGAGAAGATAATGATGATGCTTTCTCTGTGCCTACTAAGGGGTGGACCTCCTGCGAAGGAGCCTTGTCCGTTGAGCCAGGGGCATCTGAGTGAATGTGATTCATCCAATACAGAGGAATCAGAAAGTGGTTCCCCTCAGAGACAGGACAGAAACCTCCACAAGATGGCTGAGATAGAAGCCCAAGAAGAGAAGCAAAAAGAGGCAGGCCTCACTGGGAGGAAACAGATTTGTCAAATATGAATTTTCATGAGTGTTTGTGTCATGCTGTGAGATTTGAATCCATTCCTCTGCTTCCCCGCAGGTCTTTAATAAAATATCAGTGGTTCCCTAATATATCAGTGTTCAGACCTTTAGGTTGGTCAGATTCAAAGTCCATGTGAGGGCAATAAAGACAGTCTGTCTGGATCTGGACTCATATTCATGGCCAAGCTGCCATGATGTATGGAAGAACAGACTTGTACAGCCTAGCGTTAGCAGGAAGACAGGAAAAGAATGAAGACAGAACCTCTACCACAGGCAGAACAAAGAAATAAACACCACAGGGGTTACTCCAAAGTGCCCCTTTCTACCCCATCCCTTCCAATCGAAGAAGTGAAAAAGGCATCTAGGAAAAGAGAAAGAAAACAAGAAAACAGCAGTGTGATTATTGAGCTTGCAGGACGGTTAGTGCTAAATGGCTGTTGTTTGAGTGATACCAAGAGGCAGTGAGGAAACCCATCACCATCAAGGGCGGACGGGAAGTCTTGCGGTCTTTGAGTCTGGTTAAAGGCAAAAGCTGGAAAAGGATCATGGGACTGTGTTGTGTTCCTAAGAAGATTTTTAAAATTTTAATTTGCACAGTAATTAGGCACATTGTGGCACACAATGCCTAGATGCAATGTGCAGTGGTCAGATCAGGGTAATTGTATATTCGTTACCTTGGCTCTGATCACTGCTTTATATTAGGAATGGTCAAAATCTTCTCCGCCTGCTATGTTGAAATATACATGAAGTTGTGGCCAACGTATTGTGCTACTAAACATTGGAAATCATTCCTCCTAGCTAACTGCACCCCTGTGCCCATGTTATCTTTTGCAAAATGTCATAAACATGATGTTTAGAATCAAAATGATTAAATCCTCTCATCACCCCTTCAAGGAGTATAAGAGCCTGGAGATTTTTAATTCTTCCATGAGGATCCCCAGAGCGTGCCGTGAATTCTGCCTTCCAGCCCGAGTCCAGTGGCTCTCACAGTTGGGTGTTTACAGTGATAGTAGCAAGCTGACAATCTTTCCCTGGGATAAAGAAAGGGAGGGAACTCACAGCTCTTTTTTTGCAGGACCTACGCTGACACTAACAGGCTCAAAAAACCCATGCTGCAGGAAAAAGATGATATTAAAGATGCTCCCGTGCCTGTTTAAATGGTTCAGGTGGAACATGCCACTTACTCAGATAGGATTGTTAATCCACCTCCAGAGAACACAATTCTCCCTTCTCTGACCCGTGTTTCAGTGGTTTATTTAAAGTTTAATAAATTTAAATATACATGAGGTAGCTCCTTCTCATAGACATTGATCTGGTTATTGTTTTATCTGGTAGATTCTGTGAGCTATACAAGGTTGGCTATTGAAATAAAACTACAGGCCATTATGACAATGTACACATCAAAAGTGAGTGGGGAAGCGTGTTTTTAAAAGCATGACCAAGAGCCCAAGCCTTGAAATCAGTCAAGACTTAGATTCAAGTCCTTGCTTCCACTATACAACTGTTTCACTTTGAACAACTCCTTCTGCATCCCCGAGCCTTCTTTGTCTCCACCTACAGGAATGGTATCAAACCCCTAAACTTGTCATGAGGCTTATCTAAAATGAGGCTCAGCACTGAATCAGCATATGAGACCCATTCTGAAATTATTAACTATGATTATGCAATGCAATCAAGTGAATTTGATTTTCCTAGGCCTCCCTTACCTAAAATCTTTAAATCCAGGCCTAAAATAAATCTTCATTGTCATAAAAGCTGGGGAACATCCCGCATCTAAGAGTTATGCTTCTATAAATACAACTCAAACCCCTAAAAGTACAAATACACAAATATTCATGTATAAATACTTTTAAACCAAGTATTTGATCTTGCGCCCTATAAAAGCAAATGGTATTATTTTTCACCATCCCCCTCCCAAGATATAAGACCAGGGAATATTTTTTATTAGATACAAGTCCTAAGTCTGGCACACTACACAGGCAAAAAAGAAAATTAGGCATGTCCCAGAAGATTCCCGCCTGCAAGCAGTCTTTCTACTGCACTCAATGACCTTATTTTTCAGCTGCAAATTCAGCTAAAAAGGTGAAAAAAACAGTGCGTAGAGTTTGTTTTATTTTTGTGGTTGAGAAGACATAAAAGCAGAGTTCAAGAAGTGGAAAAGCTCGGTTAATTTCTACATTATTCTAAACTACCGGGAGACAGAATTGAGCCAGTAAGGTGGGACAGCAATGTATTTTCTTGTGGATTTCCTTTTTTTTCAGCTCTAAGGCTGAAGAGAATCCCTGGAAAGGAAAACTGAGGGACCAAGATTTGGATTCTATATCTTAGTTGACTCCATGACCCTAGAATTGTTCTCTAGTGCTGTACCCAGGGAGATGATAAATTCCTCACCTGAGTGCCAACATCGTCTCCTCTGGTTTCTAACTCATTCCCCGCACTACACCCAGAATGTTCTTTTCAAAATATAAATTTCTCACAGCACAGGATGCTTGGGAGCTTCCATTCCTCCACAAGACAAAAATCCGAGCAGGGGTTATAAGGTCCTCAATGGTCTTGCTCTTGTCTGCCTCTCCGGCCCCTGCTGATAACCCCTTCTAACAAATTCTGCTCCATCCACACTCTCTTATGTTCCTACTCATGATAATACCTTCTACCACAGGGCCTTTGTGCTTGCTATTCCATTCAAACAGAAAGTCTTCCTGCTTCCTCATTTTGCCTAGTTAACTCCCATTCCACTTTCAAATGTTAGCTAGAATCTGTTTCCATTATTACTGCCATGAACAACCACTCCAAAACTTACTAACTGAAGACAACAAACACTTCTTTCTCTCACAAATCTGCAATTAGAGGGGAAGGATTAGTTCTGCTCCATATGGTAGCAAATGGAGCAGTTCAATGGATCCATTTCCAGGCAGTTCGTCGTGGTGGTGGCTGTTAGGTGTGAGCTCCGTTCCTCTCCCCATGGCCATCTTCATGAGCTCCTGGCTTCCTCTCAGCATGGCAGCTGGAAGTGAGGAGCCAGCCTCCCAGGACACAGGGAGAAGCTGCCCGTCCCTGGAACGTGGTATGTTGTCACTTCTCACGCATCCCATTAGGTGAGCCAGTCACAGAGTCCAGAAACAAGAGGAAGAGAATACAGACCCACCTCTAAATTGCAACACTATCAGAGAAGTTAAGGGTCATGTTTCAGAAACTCCTCACTTTGGGCTACCAAAGCACCATGTCTACTTCCTCTGCACGCTTACCCCAAGTGTGTGTGTCACACACTAGACTCTAAGCTTGGGGGCAGGGTTTGCATCGGTCTCATTCATTGCCAGATCTGCCACCCCGAGCACAGAGAAGATGTTTGGTAACTATCGGCACAAGAGACCAAAGCAGAGAATCCATCAACAAGTCCGTGATGAAGTTTCTCTGACTGGGGCTATGAAATAAAAAGGCCTTCAAGGAAACAGGCAGATAGCATGAATCAGGAAGGGAGCTGGGGAGAAAGCAACCAGGGGTGACTGACTCTGGGGTGCATGCTTTCTGCACAGTGGGGAGTGAGCCTCAGTCCTCCGATCCAGCTGAGTCTCCGCAGTGGGAACACAGCCCCAGGGTGACTAGAACTTACAAGATTTTAAGAGTCAAAGCTTTTCAATTTTTGCATGAAATCTATCAGTTTTAAAATATAGGCCACACACACATAGAAAGCTAATTAAAACATGTCTGTGGGCTCAGTCTTGTTGCTTACGTGTCTTATAATACAAACCTGCTCCCCAAAACTTATTTTCTATAACTGAAATGGTCTGTCACTTACGTATGGTGTTACATTTCTTCCCTTAGAATACACTTAAAATATTTATCTGTTTTTTTAAGAAAATATTTCCAGCCCTTTGTTTATATCCCAGTATACCACACAAATTACCTGTTTTTCTTATTTATTCCCTTTGCTCTTCCAGTAGGATAAGCTCAACAAGGGAGGGGGTTGTCACTGTGCTCTGTTTACAAACTGAATCCGAAACCCTCATCCCTAGAGTTGGATACATAGTAGGTGCCCAGCAATATCTTCCCAGCGAGAGAAGAAGGTACTTAAAGCCATGTTGTGGCTTAAATACAAAGTATGCCCCCAGAAGTCTGATGTATTGAGGACTTGCTCCCCAGTACAGAAGTGTTCACGGGTAGGGGTTTAGAGAGGTGACGGGGCTATGGAGGATCAATCTGCTGATGAGTTCGTGGCTGAACACTCTCTAGGAGATGGGCCCAGTGGTAGGAAGCAGGTCGCTGGGCGCGTGCCTTGGAGAGATGTCTTGTCCCCGCCGTCTCCCTCTCTGGGTCTTCCCCTCTCGCTCTGCTTCCTGGCTGCCATGGAGGTGAGCCACCTTCCTCCACCATGTGCCTGTAGCAGGATGTTTTTGCCTTGGATCCATTCACCACGGACTAAAACCACTCTGCAACCATGAGCCAAAGTAAATCTTCCTTCCTTAAGCGTGTATTCTAGGCATGTTGGTCCCGGCAATAGAAAGCTGACAAGTACAAGTGTTTCCTGTTGTTCACTTGGTCCCTATCTTTGTGCGTTTCCTTTAGCACCTATGATGAGGAGAAGCCGAAGAAGGTGGAGGCCGGCCCGTTCATTCCGATCTACAACTGCATCCTTCTGCCCTTGCTGCCCAAGGCTCACATGTAAGCAGCCTCACCTCCTGTCCTTGCTAGCTTATAAGTGGACATTGAGTTCAAATGACTCCACAAGCTAATGAGCTGGGAGCCGCTGAGCTATTCCTTTGTCCTCTTCAAAGGACTTGGAGCCTGAAGCCAACAAAACTGTGACGTATAAAAAAATAACAAAAAGTAGGCACGGTGTTTTAGACCTAGGTAGCAAATCCGCAGGGACTGGCTCATCCCTTTCCTTACCAAGCCAGACACTGATGTCAGATGCTTTTTAAGGCCTGATAAAATCTGTCTGCAGCCCTTGCCAAGCCTGTGCAAGGCTGTCTCAGCCAAAACTCAGGGGACATGATTTTCCCTCAAGAGTTGAGGAGCTATTTTCCCGAGAAGCTTCTATGGTCTGATGCCCCAGGACATGAGCTCCTCACTGCACGGTATACAGAGGCTAATCAGTTCTCTGAAGAGCGTTCTTGCTTTCTAAAACCTTGACATCTCGTTCCCTTGTGTCTCTTCCAAAGAATTACAACTCCAATTTTTTTTTTCTTTTCCACTAGTTGGCACTTTTCAACCGGAAGCTTCACAGCATAAGCTTTTGACTTTTGGGCAGGGTTCTCAACCTCAGCACCACTGGCATTTTGGAAGCAACAATTCCTGGTCATGAAGAGTTGGCCTGTGTGTTGCTGGGTGCTTAGCACCCCTGGTCTCTAGATACCAGAAGCTCCACTCCCCCAAACCATGACAATCTAAGGATCTCTAGACACACTGAAGGGCCTCTAGGTGCAAAACTACTCCCTTGAACCCCCCAATGAAAATCATCGCTTTAGGGCAATAAATTCCTTTAGGCCAGTAGTGCAATGGATTCCAGACTTTTCCATCTACTCATCTGTCAGGTTATTATTGGGCTTTCCAGGGTGTTCATAGTAATATGGTCACTGCTGACCCCCCCCCAAACATCATTGCATTCAGTGTTCTCAGCACCCCTGTTGTGCAGGTATTTTATTAACCCTTCTGCAGGTGAGGAAGTAGAAACTCAAAGAGGCCTACTTACCTGCCCCTGGGCACACAGCTCAGTGCTGCACTGAAATCGGGCTTTTTTTTTTGAAAGGTAAAGGACTTAGGTAGTCTTTCTTGAGAGATGCAAGAAGTTTGTCACAGCCATTCTTTAAGCTAACTTAAATCAAACAACAATCTTAATATGTAAAAATACTGATTTTTTTCTGTCTATTAACTATTGACATACATTTAACATCTATCTCTAATTGAATACTGTCATTTCTGGGCTCATTTCACTATATTCGTAACTACCTCTTTCCCTGAAAATAAGACCTCGGTGGCAAGTGATCAGTCTTGAAACCCAGAGATCAAAACTGTGAGCCCCAACCAGCCCATCTCCCCACCACGTTCACTCTTCTCTTGCTGGATGATTCCTCTGGAAGGAAGAGCCAAGACAGTGCCAGGTGGTTGGAGCCAGCATGTTCAATCCCCAGTTTTCAAAGGTGACCATTTCTCAGCCAGGTCTTTTTTTTTTATTGTTTATTGATACCATTTTGATACACATAATGATCACATGAGAAAAATTTTAGCCAAGTGTCCCTCAGACAAAGGACTAATATCTAGAATATATAAAGAACTGAAAAAAAAATCAGACCCTTCCCCCAAATTTAAAGATACAGTTGGGCTTTAAGCAGCTTGGTCTGGCTTTAGACACTAATTTTTTATCAGCGCACACCACACAGAAAGTGTTTCCCAAGCGCTTTCCTGCGATGAGCCTGTGAATTATCTGGAGAGCCAAGAACCCACACTGAAAGAGAAAAATCATGCCAGAGTGAAATCATAAGACAAGATGGCAGGCAAAGGAGATCATACGGGACACTGCCTCGTCCTTCCCTAACAGTCCAGGCTGTGGCGAGACCCACTGCTCAGCACTTTCCTCCAATCGATTTTTGGTACCAGGAATCCAACTCAGAACCTTGCACTTGCCAGGCAGGCACTTGTGCCACTGAGCTAAACCCCTGACCCCTATGATTGGTTTCTTGGTAGACCTGTTTATTCTGTGTCATTCCACCTGGCAGCCTAAGCTCGATGTTCTAACAGCTCCTTGTAAAACCAGGCCTTGTGTATCTCAGAAGGTTCCTAGCAGTATTCCCTGCCTCTCTCCTGCACAAGCTAAAACCAGGGAATTTTCATTTGCATCTAAATCCTCTGAGGATGGGATGGGGGTGCCTGAGAAATCCAAACACCTTCCCCATCCCATTTTATTCACTGTTTGTGAACACACTCAAACTTAAATCAGCTGTGAAGAGATTGGGGAAAAGCAAAGCCCAGAGAGGAGCAGAGCTTGCAAAAGTCTCACAATAGGAATCGTGATCTTATGAGTCCTAAGTCAGATGTTTATGAGGTTTATTAGGTAGGTGTATCCATCAGATTTTCTATCACTGGACACAATACCAAACTCCCACAACTTGAAGGGCAGAGTTAATGCGGCTCATGATTCAAGGAATTCAGTCCATTGTCTACTGCTTCCAAGGCAGAAACCTCATCGTGGAAGGACGTGGCAGAGGAAAACTTCTCACCTCACTGCAGCCAGGAAGCAGAGAGACAAGAAAGGAGCTGGAGACAAGAACACATCCTTCCTGGTCACAACCCCAGTGCTCCACCTCTTCTGGCCAGACCCCACCTCCCAGCAACACACTCAGTTATGAACTCATGAGCCGAACAGTGAATGCAATGTCCCCTGTGATCCAATCACCTTCCCCAAGCCCCACCTCCCACCACAGGAGACTTTGGGGGCACATTCTAGATCTAAACCATAACAGGAGGCTGTTCTTGGTATTGTCATTATTACAGTGGGTTGTTTTTACTTGTTATGTCCTTAAAGGGCCAGACAGTAAATATTTTAGGCTCTACAGACCAGAAGTTAAATACTTAACCTTGCTATTGTAGCTTAAAAGCCACAGTGACAGGTTGCATTGGCCATGTTCCAATAAAGCTGTCTTGATAAAAACAGATGTTGGAACCCACTGGTAATAGCCTGCCAATGCCTGCCCTAGGCTAGAGACCGTCCTTTTCTTCTTCTTAGCTGTACAAAGGCCTTGGCCTCGTTTGATGACTGGATGGGTAACCTATTGCTGTATTCCAAACCAGTTCAACTGGAAATGCTTAAAACAAACCCTTCATCATGACTCCCAAGACTTCTGGTTGGCTGGCTGGGTGTCTCTGCTGGTCAAGGCTGGCTTGGCAGCTCCAGGCTGAGTTTGCTTAGATGTGTGCACTGAGCTGATGCATGAGCTGGGAGTTGCTGGTCTAGGATGGCCTTGTTCACATGCCTTTGGACCTTCGGTTCAGAATACACAGAGAGGCCCCAGACACAAGGAGTAAGAAAAAACCCACCTGTTGATGGGAGAGCACAGTAAAGTCACCCTGCAAACTGTGTAAAGGTGAGAGGGATAGAGGATGAGCAGGACATTTTTTATGGTCTACCAAAAAACATCAAGACAGGCCCAATCTAGGTAGCTATGGAACTGTATCTGTCATCACGTCAAACATGAATTAGAGCCTTGTCAGCCCTTCAATCCCAATGTGACTGATCCCAAAACTGACTAATAATTCTGAATACAGCCAAGTGTAAAGGTTCATGCCTGCCATCTCAACACTCTGGGAGGCTGAGACAAGAGAATCTCAAGTCTAAACTTAGCCTGGGCAATTTAGCAAGACAGTATCTCAAAATAAAAAATGAAATAAAAAATTAAAGGTGGGGGGGTTATAGCTCAGTGCAAAGACCCTGGTTCAATCTCCAGTTTGGAAAATAATAACTATGATAATAATAATAATCCTGAATGGATTCTTTAAGATGGGGAGGAGATGCTACATGGGAAGGGGACACTGGTCCTTGTTTCTCCTCTCTAGGGGTGACATAGCTGTCCCCATGAGCGTTTTGTGAACAGTTGTGCAGGAAAAGCAATGCTTGCAGCCAGTGTCCAGATTTGCCCTTGGCCGTCAGCGTGGGACAGTTGGAATGGCTTTGTCCGCAGCGACTGTGTTCCTTCATACGAGAAAAGAATGCTGGTCTCTTCACGGGTGTTCTCGCCCACCACTGTGCTCTGATTGCTACAGCAGCTTCGATAACGAGGCTGCTCTGCCGAGCTGACCCCGGAGCGCCCACCGAGTTCTGAGCTCCAGTGCTGTGCGGCAGGCTGTGTGCATCTGTCTCTCATGTTTTCTCCTCATCTGCCCAGCATTTCATTTGGTAAAAATCCAAGATATCGTGCTATGACCTGGCACATGAACAATCCTTAGGAGAAAGGACTCGTTTCTATTAAGAATGTTTCTGGGAGGATTTTGTTTTGTTTTTGTTGTTTTTGTTGTTTTATTGTTTTGTTTTTTTCTTGCCTTCAGTCTGTTTCATCACAGATAAGATGAATCATCACCGGGTTTCAAATTCTTTATAAACTGAGAAAAAGATGCAGACCCATCCAATGAAACTTGATGAAAAAGAAAGTCTCTGCCTAATCACAAGAGGCAACGTTAACATTAAAGTCAGAGCACAAATCTGGGAGCCAAGTTGGAATGTGGACTCTGATTCCAACTTGACCAACTGCTGGCTTTTGTGCCTTGACAAGTTCATGACTTTGTGCCTCAGTTTACTTATCTGCAAAATGAAAATAATAATGGCAACTTTAGAGAGATTTTTTTAAAGGATGAACTTAGTCCAAGGATGTTGAGCATTTAAAAATGCCCAGGAAAGTCAGCACCGTATGGGAAGTATTTACTATTACTATTATAGTGGTTGTGCAATAAGCATGGTGACCCCCATGTTAACAGCCCAGGACGGTATTTACTATTACTCAGTGGTTGTGCAATAAGCATGGTGACCCCCAAGTTAACAGCCCAGGACAGTGTCAGATCCAAACCAGTTCATCCTGACCATCTTTTATCCAGCAACCAAAACTATGTTGAGCTCCATCTGTGCCCAGTATGCAGAACCAGAGGGTCAAGGTAGGGTAACACTGTGTAATTTGTAGGTTCATGGGCTGGAGGAACAGAGAAATAGGTAGTCATAGCAGGCCAGTGTGGGGACAGAGGGACACACTGCAGGACGGGGGTGCTATAGAAGATCCTCAAAGGGAGCCTACGGATATAGAGAAATCAAGGAGGGCTTCCTGTTAGAAGTGATACCTGAGCTGAAGCCTGGTCGCTGAAAGCCAGAGAAGGAGGAGGAGGGGAAAGACAGGCCAAGAACAGGGAACAGTGCTGCACCCTTCACCGCACCCTGACCCTAACCTGACGAGGCAGGCACTACCATTGCCACCACTCTGCAAAGAAGAGAAGTGAGACTCCAGGTAGTTAAGTGATTTGGCCAGGGCCATGTATACCTAATCAATGGCCAGGCTAAAACCCTAATGCAGAGGCTGTGGTGAGCTCAAGCACCTGAGAGGGATCATCCTGGGCTGCAGATGGGAAAAGTGGACGTTGGAGAGGGGTCCAAGAGTCCCGCACGTGACAGCAGGTACAACTAGCTGGGACTGCAATAAAAGAGTGCCAGAGCGGGTAAGTTAAAGGCCTGAGGGTTGCAAGTGCAAGATGGAGGTGCTGTCAGGGCCTCTCTCCTCACCTTCAGTGTTCTGCCCTTGTCCTCGCCTGGGCTTTCTCCTGCCTGCAGTCCCTGTGCGTCCAGATTCCCTCGTCATACAAGGACACCTGTCACTGAGTCGGGGCCACTCTAATACCTTATTTTAAATGAATCACCCCCTTTTTGTGTACTGAGGCCTTTGCACTGAACTACATCCCCAGCCTCTTGTTTTGTTTCATTTGAGACAAGGTCTTGCTAAGCTCCTAAACTGCCGGGGCTCCATCTTGCAATCCTCCTCTTTAAGCTTCTGTCTCCAAATATGGCCACACCTACGTGTACTGGGGCAAGGACTTTAATATAAGGATGTTAAGGGTTCACAATTAAGCCTGTGACAGATGGTTTGGGAAGTCAGAAGACACTGATCAAGGGAAGAAGAGAGTCGGGTTTGCACCTATTTGTGTCACCTACAGAAATGAACCAAATGGTCACAGCTCCATGTCACCCACAACCAAATAGACCCCATCTCAGCAATTGATTCCTTCTGCTTCTTCCCTGTCCTGCTGTAAACATCACAAAGCCCAGGCCTACATGGGCTCTGTGTGGTGAAACGAAAGAGGGGCCTCTCCCCTGATCCTTCAGTTTTCTGGGGTTGCAGGGAGAGCGTAGCAAAGTGCTCTCACCCAGTGCCTCATGCTTGGCACACGGAGCCTGCTGGCTACATACTGGATATGCCCATGTGCCCAGAGCCACCAAGACCTACAGGTCCCCAGATGACCTGAGGGAGAGGAAAGCAACAGTAGCAGGAAGAGCCAGAGCTTTAAATTAGAAGTGGGGGAACAGTAGATGCTTACTGAATAATTTGTAGAAAAAAGTTAGCTTGTTTTTCTCCAGATTTCCAGCGAGAGAGGGAGAAAGAGAGAGAGAGAGAGAGACAGACAGATTGACCCTTAGTCTTCCTAAGATCCCCACAGGCACAGCCACCCCAGGCCCAGGGTATAAGAAGGGTGACCACAGCTCCCTTTTATGCTGAGTAAAGTAGACGCCTTCTCTCGGGAGAAAAGCAGGCAAATCTGGGTCAGCTCCATCCTTTGGCCCAGCACACAGGCTTACAGGAAACAGGGAAGGACAATGCCTTTCTGCTCTTGTGAGCATCAGGCCTGGGAACCCAGGGGAGACCGGGTGAAGGTGGGTGCAGTTTCAACTAAGAGCAATCACACAGCTCAGTAATGGAGGCCCCTTATCCGTAAGTGTGAAAGGAGAAATCAGGAGGAGAATGAGCCAGCCAAGACTAGAACTTGTTTCTAGGAAAGACACAGGCAGCAGGTTAACCCTCTCCTGACCTTGCTCTTAGAGTGACCACCACATTGGCTTCATCGGCCCTTAGAGCTCAGTCCTTCAGGGGTTAATTAGACCTCGATTCAAATCCTTGCTAAGCCCAGCTGTGTGACCGCAGGTAACTCCTTCACCTCTCTGAGCCTCAGACCATACCTCTGTAAAGAGGAGGTGGGAATAGTACCCTTCATATAGGAGAGTCGAGAAGATTAAATGAGATACTCAAACAATGCCTCTGTCACTAGCAAGCTGTGTGACATTCAGCATATTAACTGATCTCTCAGGTATTCATTTCTCCTCCTATAAAATGTAGGTAATAATTCATAGCCCAGTAGATTTGTGGGAAATTAAATACTATAGAAAAAATACATTAGTCATTGCTTGGCCCACTGTAGATATTTAATACAGATGTCTAAGAAACAAAAAAAATACACATTACTTCTATTTTCCTTTGGTTCTCTGAGACAGGATCTTACTTTGTAGTTCAGACTGGCCTTGAACTCACTATGTAGCCCAGGCTAGCCTTGAACTCACAGCAATCCTCCTGCCTCTGCCTCTGCTTCTGCCTCTTGAGTGCCAGGATTATAGGCATATGCCATCACGCCTGGCCTTAGATACATTTTTATCAGTGCTTTAGTTATATTTGTAAGTAATACGTGTAATGTTTTCTTCAATATCCAGCTACATTTTAAAGCAAAATTCTTAAACATTTAAAACAATGGGTCCAATTATTAATCTGAAAAAATACAGTTAATACACTAGCCTGCCTGTGTTTCCAGATTTTCTTGCACCCTTAATTTATTTTCTGCTTATATATCAAGTAACCAAACTGACACCCAGAGGATATTCATTTTTTCCAATTTTCTCATTTGTCTGAGTAAGGATCTGCAGCCTGGGGAACCCTCCAACAATGTCCTCTCGCTACACACACAAACTCCCAGAGTCTGGCGTGGAATCATTTTGTTTCAAATCATGGCTCAGCCACCTGCTGGCCCAGAAACTGCGGCGTGGCTCCCCACAGTCCTCGGAGCCCAGAGCCCTTATTTGCAAAGTGGGACGATCCCTTTGAGAAAGGGTGAATTTCACTGTGTGTGCAAAATAAAAGTTTCTGACTAACAGCACAACTACCACCTTATTGCTGTTATTTTGAAGATTATTGTTCTAACAGGATCCCTCTGTGTTTGCAGCGAACCTCTCTTCCGCCAACTGTGCGCTCTCCACTGGCTTCTGGAAGCCCTGACCATTGACCACACCCACCACATCATGAAGCCTGTGATCACCTGCTTCAATACCAAGTATGGCTCTGCAGCCCCTCAACTGACCATTAATTAACAGCCTGGGTAGGGAGGAAGAGGCTCCCATCCAGTAGCCCTCTCCTCTTGCTATTTTTCTAGGTGGGTGCTTTATGAGTTTTGGGTGCTCTGCATGATTCAAACAGGGTTGAGCTGCAGCCAGCTCACACAGATGCATGACAGCCAATAAAATCTATGCCTCTCCCTCAAGCATCTCTCCCCAGATCTGCATCCAGTGACATCACACTGGTATCTTGAAGTCAATCAGCTGCAGGGGGAGCATTTACACCCCAGAAATGCAGGAGCTATGCCAGCACACCATGGATGCACGGCTCGAGTTCTCGTCCACCCCTTTCATGGCCTGTGTCTTCCCCACAGTGTTTGTTTTGTTTTGTTTTGTTTTGTTCTCGCCTCTTTTTTTTTCTGATTCCACTTTTTCTTTTTATTCTTCACTTTCTCTTTGTTATGGTTTTCTACTTTACCTCATAATTTTATTTTGTCTGGTTTTATTTTTTTACTTTAAAAAGAATAATACAGGGGCTGGGATTTAGCTCAGCAACATAAGCACCTGCCTTGCAAGCAGGCGGTCGTGAGTTCGATCCCCGGTACCAAAAAAAGTTAAAAAAAAAAAAAAAAAGAAGAATAAAAAACAAAACAAAGCAGATCAGAACAAAACAATGCAGAGAACACAGAATTTCAAAACAAGATAACAGGAAATCAACAGTGGCAACCATAATATCTCTTGTTTTCTTCGAAATAGCTGTCCATACCTTCACACGTATTGTGTTGGTTAGTTTTCTCTCAGTTCTGGGACAAAACACCTCACACCCAACTTGAAGGAAGGAAAGGGTTATTTAGCTCATCGTAGAGGTTTCAGTCCATAATCAGCTGGCTCCAAGGCAGGGTGGCAGGACACTGGATAACACTTCAAGGCAGTAGCCAGAGCAAAAAGGAAGAAAACAAACCTCTCCTTCAGTATATTGTACACAGGCTGCTCCCACCCCTCCAAGATAGGTGTAGCACTCACAAAATCTCCTTGCCCTCCTTTACACAGATGAGGATATTTACAAAGTAAGAACCCTGCTTCCTGCTGAGTCTCTCAGTTAAACTTCTCAACTGCTGAAGTTAACACGATGTATCAATCATAACACATACGGAAATCAAATAATAGAAAACAAATCAAAACAAACAATAAATGCATTATTAGACTTCAAAACAAGATGAAAGAAAATAGCAGTGACTACTATAATGTCTTGTTTTCTTCAAAGTAGCTGTTCATACCATCGCTCGTAATAAAATCAATTATTATAAATTCTTTAGAAGTTCTAGGCATGTATAAGGCTCTACATGTACACCTATCCTTTCTGTATTAGAGAAAAAAATAAAATACAAGCAACAAAAGTGAGACAAATAATGACAAACAAAACAATAACAATATAGGTTTTCAAAAGGAAATGTTAGGAACATAACTAAGGTTGCATAGTTATCTTCAAGAGAGTTACTCAGAGTACCAGATATAAACATGCAAAATTGATTTAATCCTATGAATGTTAAGAACTAATACTGTTTTGTTCCAAGAATTAATAGAGTTAGTAATACAATCATCTTAGCTACCTTCAGTGTATATATACAAATTTCTTTTTTCTTTTCCCTTCCTTTTCCTTTCTTTCTTTTCTTTTTTCCCTATGAGTTATTTTTCCCCTTTGAGCTATTTCTTACCCTTTCACAATATTTATTGAAGATTTTATATCATATTTACTCTTTAGTTTCTTACACTAGGCAGATAGTACAGTATTTACACATATGAGTTTGATTTTTCACTCACGAGTATGATCTCAAATCTCATCCATTTACCTATAAAAGCCTTCTTTATAGCTGAGTAGTACTCCATTGTATAAAAATATCACATCTTTTTATCCATTCCTTAGTTGATGGGTATTTGGGTTGTTTCCAAGATTTGGCTATTACAAATTATGCTGCTATAAATATGGATGCACATATATCACTGTGGTCTGATGTTTTCGGTTCTTCTGGGAATATTCCCAGAAGTGGAATAGTTGGGTCAAATGGGACTTCCAATCCCAGCCTTTTGAGGAACCTCCAGAATGATTTCCACAGTGGTGGCACCAGTCTACACTCTCATCAACAATGCAGAAGAGTTCCTTTTTCCCCACAGCCTCTCCAGCATTTGTTATTGATGGTTTTCTCAATCCTGGCCATTCTTTCTGGGGTAAAATGGAATCTCGGTGTTTTTTTAAATTTGCATTTCTCCAATGACCAGAGATGTTGAACAGTTTTTCATGTATTTATTTACCATTTGTATTTCTTCAACTGAGAAGTGTGGTTTCATCTCAGATGCCCATTTTTGGATTGAGTGTTTGAATTTGATGTTTTAAAATTTCTTTTTATGTTCTAGATAAAAGTCCTTTGTCTGAGAGACAGTTTCCTAAGATTTTTTCCCAGTTCATGGGTTTTCTTTTCATTCTATTAGAGATTTATTTTGACAAGCAAGAATATTTTAAGACGATGAGATCCCAGTTATTTTATTTTAGATATTTTTCTTCTTTTGTATTTTTTTTGATGCTGCTATGATGGGTATGGTTTTTTATTTCTCTCTCAGTGATTTTATTGTTTGTGTACAGGAAAGCTATTGATTTTTGAGTGCTGACTTTGTATCCAGCTACATTACTAAATTTAGTTATTACAGCTACAAGTCTTTCAATGGTGTTTTTGGGGTCTTCTATGTAGAGTATCATGTCATTTGCAAGTAATGATAATTTAACTTCTTTCTTTCCTATTCTTATTCCTTTTATTTCTCTCTTATCTAGTCGCTCTGGCTAATATTTCCAGCACTATATTGAATCGGAGTCGTGATAATGGTCATCTTTGCCTTGTTTCTGATTTTAGAGTGAAAATTGTCAATGTTTGACCATTTAATATGATGTTGACTGTTGGTTTGTCATAGATGGCCTTTATCAGATTGAGGTAAAAACCATCTATTCCAATTTTCTATCGGGTTCTTATCATGAATGAGTGTCAAAAGCTTTACCTGCATCTAAAAGCTTTATCAAAAGCTTTTTCTGCATCTATTGAAATGATCATGTGATTCTTATCTTTGGCTCTATTGACATGCTGTATTACATTTATTGATTTGCATATGTTGAACCATCCCTGCATTCCTGGGATGCATCCCACTTGTTCGTGATGTACGATGCTCTTGATGACTGGCTGCATTCTGTTTGCCAGTGTTTTATTGAAGATTTTTGCATCTATGTTCATTGGGAGATTGGCCTGTAGTTGTCTTTTTTGGTTGAGTCTTTCTCTGGTTTTGGTTATTAGGGTAATACTTGCTTCCAGGAATGAGTTAGGGAAAATTGCTTCAGTTTCATTTCATTGAATTTGAGAAGCAGTAGAATTAAGTCTTTCTTGAATTTCTTGTAGAATTCTGCAGTGAATCTATCAGGACCTGGGATTTTCTCTAGTACATTTTCAATTTCATTCATTGAAACTGGGTTATTCAGCAGTTTTACATCTTCTTGATCCAGCTTTAGTAATTTATATGTATTTAGGAGTCTGTCCATTTCTTCTGTGTTATCAAACCTAGAATAAAGGTTCTCAAAGTAGGTATTAATGTTCTTTTGTATTTCCACAGGGTCTGTAGTGATTTTACCCTTTTCATTCCTTATTGCATGAATTTGAGTTTTTTCTTTCCTTTTTTTAATAAGGTTGGCAAGAGGCCTGTCGGTTTTATTTATTCTTTCAAAGAGCAACTCTTTGATTCATTTATTCTTTGTATTGTTTTGTTAGCCTGTATTGCTTTGATTTCTGCTCTGATCTTTATAATTTCCTCCCTTCTTTGGGCTTGGGCTTGACTTGTTCTTCTTTTTCTAGATGTTTGAAGTGTAGCATAACTTTATTTGTATTTGTATTTGTATTGTTTATTTGTATTTCTTCTGTTTTCCTGATGTGGGAACTCAGTGCAATAAATTTTCCTCTGAGGACAGCTTTCACAGATTCCAGTATCTGTATCCCACAGATTCCAATAAGTTGCATTTGTATTTTCATTTGCTTGTAGGTATTGTTTAATTTCTTCTTTAATTTCTCCTGTGACCCACTGATTGCTCAAGGGTGTATTATTCAATTTCCATGTGTTTGTAGGGTTTTTGCAGTTTCTTTTATCATTAAGTTCTAGTTTCATGGTACTATGATCAGATAATGTGCATGGAATAACTTCAATTCTTTTGTATTTACTTAAGCATGTTCAATGGGCTAGTATATGGTCTATTTTACAGAATGTCCCATGTGAAGCTGAGAAGAATGTATATTCTGGTGGTGTTGGGTGAAACACGCTGTACATATCTACATATCTAAGTCCTTCTGTTCACAAGTTTGATTCATTTCTGTTATTTCTTTGCCAATTTTCTGTCTAGTTGGCCTGTCTCTTTGTGTCAATGAGGTGTTAAGATCTCCCATTATAAATGTGTTATTACTTATTTGATTTTTCATTTCTATTAATATTTGTTTTATATAGGTTGGTGCTCCCATATTTGGTGCATACATATTTAGGATCGTTACCTCTTACTTTTGAAGTTTTCCCCTAACTGGTGTGTAGTGACCTTCTTTATCTCTTCTGATCATTCTTGGTTTGCAAACAGAATAGCTACCCCCTGCTTTTTTTTTTTTTTTGAAATATTGTCTTCCATCCTTTGACTTTCAGTCTATTAATTTCCTTTTAGGTTTAATGGATTTTTTTATACAGCCTATGGTTGGATATTGTTTCTTGATCCATTCTACCAGACTGTTTCTTTTAATTGGTGAAGTTAGGCCATTCACATTAATGGTTATAACTGATATATATTGGCTCATTTTTTCACATTTTTGCTCTACTATCAGTTCTTTACCTTACCCTTCTGTTTAATTGTTTGCCTTGCTTAGTGATTTTTCTGTTGGTATCCTTGAAGTTGTAGTTATTTCTATGTCTATCTAGAATATCTTTCAGTATT